CTCCTGCTCATGGCAAAACTCCTGGAGAACTTCCCAGGTGGGGTCGAATCCTCACCTGCTGGGAGATACTGAGCCCCTCCTGGGGCTGGATATCCTGCCTAGGCTGGATGTTCTCGTTCTTTGGGCTAGGGGCAAAGTCGGAGCCCTCGGAGTCCCCTGCATCAAATAAATCTGGAGACCACAGTTTGCTCGTCTGCAAAAAAAGAGGTGGTTTATCCCTCATGGGGTTACTCCCAGCAGCGGGTGCTGCAGCCCCAGCTCGTGCCCGTTGGTCCTGCAGCCGTCAGCCTGAGGATTTCATGACTGCTCTGAAACTCAGAGCTTTCTGTTAAATCAGCCTGGAAGGAAAACTAATTTTAAACAATCGGGGCCAAAATCGCACAAGCGAAAGTCACTTTCAGGAGGCAGGTGCCAAGTTACCCATCTTAGGGGGGCACAAGTTGCAGTCTGCATCTTGTAGCCTCTAAATATTGAAGGAAATGGGGAGATTTTTGTAGCCGTTGTTGGCTCATGAGCAGCTGGAGGAATGGCCGAGACTGAAGCATCCCCGTAAAACGGGTCTGTAGGGGACAGCAGGCAACGTCAGCTCTACGGGACCTCTTTTATTTTCCGTGCCAGTGAAATCCTTATGGGCTAAGGAAGAAAACAGGATCTCGGAGTAAGAGGGGAAAAGATTTTAAATACTTACCCCCTGCCCCAGCCCCCCTTCCTGAGAGTCACTGCCACATGCATATAACAAGAGATAAATATTTTTTGGCGGAGCCCGCTGTTTATTTAACCCTTTGGAGACACAGCCCTCTGGCATCCCCTCGCTCTTCCAGGCACAAAACCCTGCTGTCCCTGCCTAGCTGGGCTGGAGCAGCTCAGTCCTTGCCCACAGCCCCTCGCTGGCTGGGGCCTCCCCCAGCCCTGGCTGTGTCCATCACTTCTCTCTTCTCTCCAGCGCTGCCCTACGAATCAGCCCGGCCTCGGCCGCAGGAGGTACCTGAGCTGGGTCCCTGGGCAGGGGCCAACCCAGCCCTTGGAGACTGGGTAGGAAGGGGCTGGGGGGGAGGCTGGAGGGAGGAAAGGATGAGGACCAGGGGATGGGGACCACGGATGTGGACCGGGGGATGCAGACCTGGGGATGCAGACCATGGGATGCAGACCCCATCGGTCCTTTCCCATCGATCCCTGCCTTTCACAGCCCACCGGGCAGGGGAAAGCAGCCACCGGGGAGCTTGCTGTACCCCAGGGCAGCTTGTCCTTCATTTGGGACCTGGGAAGCGGCCCGGTGCATCCCACCAGGCGAAATACTTGGTGGGTTTCCCTTTGTGGTGGGATGCTCAGTGCGGGGCAGCTCAAAAGCGGAGCCAGCTGCTGGGTGGGCGACCCGGGGCAGAGCCCCCACCGTAGGGCACCGGGTCAGGCTCAGCTCTTAACGTTGGAGCTCTCCCTCCCTGGCACCCCCTGCCTCTGAGCCCCGGGGAGGAGGATGCTGAGGCCCGTGGGAGCAGGAAAGGGAATATATTTAATGAATTGCCATCTCACGATGCACCGAGGGGGAATGGGAACCCATGGCTCCCCGCTCGCCTTGCCTCTCCCCTGCCCGGTGCAGCAGGAGCGGGTAGGTTTCTGCCCTCCTCTCTCCACTTTGCTTTTCTATTTTTTTTTTCCTTTGGTTTTCCTTGGGGGTGAGGGGGTGGGAGCTAAAAAACCCCCCTCGGGGACCGCGCAGGATGCTCCCACGCGTCCGCCCCCGCACAGGACTCACAAATCAACCCGAGCAGGATTAGGGCCGAGGGGCCGGGGCGCCGGGCAGTCTGTCCCGACCCGGGGGAGCCTCACCTGGAGCGGTCAGGGCTCCCTCGGGAGCCGTGCCGTGCCGTGCCAGAGCCGCACCGGCCCCCCTCGGACCCAGCCGGAGCCAAGCTCTGCCTGTACCGTCGGGGGGGACACAGGGGTCTCCCGGGAAGCCTTCCCACTCCCGACGGGGGTGGAAGAGAGGGGCTGTGGTCTCCTCCGAGGGGGGGGGTCCCGAGATCACCTACTTGTGTTAGGGGGGTTTTGTGCCCGTCTAAGCTTCGCTGTAAGCTGGGTCCCGGGCGGAGGTGTCCGATGCTCTGTGCTCGGTTGCCACGTCGGGGGTGCCCTCCGTGGGGCAGGGAATGCCAGGGACCCCCTGGAGGGCGCCCGCAGAGCCCGGGCTCCCCGTGTCCCGCACCCCGGCGTGATGTCCCCGGGGCGCAGGGCGAGGGCTGCGGACGGGGCATCGTCGTGGGCACCGGTGCCACGCTGGGACTTTCCCTCCCGCTTCACTTAAAGCATCGCCCCCGTCGGGCCTTCCTCGGAGGAAGACCCCCGCCCGGCCCCCGGTTACCGAGCGCAGCCCCAACTTCTACAAACCGCAGCCATAGGGATGCACGTTGTGAGCGCCGGTTGCTGCCCCCCCACACCACCACCACCCCGTGGGCAGCCCCACGCAGGCTTTCACGGGTGGGTGGCACCAGCCCAGTCCCCTGCTGGGACCAGAATATGGGACCAGTCCCACGGTGACTGCCACGGGTGGTGCTGGAAATCCCCCCACACACTGGGTGTCGGAGCACCTGCCCGCAGCGCTGCTCCGCACCCGCGGGAGGAACCACCCGTGGAAACCGCCGCCCCTCACCGCGGCCTCGGGTCTCCGCTGCCCAGTGGGGTGAGAGCCTAGCAGCCCCGGCACCGTCGGGAGCTGAGCTAACGCTACCGCGGGGAGAAAATGGCTTGAAAAAGTGGCAAAAAAAAAAAAAAATAATAATAACCCCAAACCAAGTGGATGGGTCTGAACGCAGACACGCAACACGTCCACGGGGAGGTTTTCACGCACGGCGGTTTTCTCCGGCGTGAACGTGCTCACGGGGTGAATCCCTCCGGATTTCAGCAGCGCCTCGTTTCTTTCAACGTTTTCACATTTATTTAAACGCCAAAAGCGATCGGAGCGGGCAGTTCGCACGCATTAAAAAAAAAACAAAAAAAATAGAATAAATCACAGCTAAATAACACCTTGAAATTGTAAAGCCTGGAAACCCACGCGTCCCCACGGCTTCACCCCGCTTTTAACAACCGAAACGAAACGAAGGAAACCCCGGCGGTGGCTCAGCCACGGCCACGCAGGGCTTGGGGCTGGTTTTCCGCGGGGACGGGTCTGCCCGTGCCGCCGCGGAGCTCGCTGAGCAGGAACCTCCCCGGGTTGTTATTTTCTTTTTCTATCTCTTTTTTCCCCTTTTTTTTTTTCTTTTGCTTTGCGGGCACAGGGATCCCCTGCCAGCCTTAAACGGCCGCTTTCGCGAGCAAATAAATACATCTCCAGCCAGTTGCGTTGCATTATTCCGAGGGAAATAGCTGGCATTCCTGCACCAGTTTATTTTGGAGCCGAAATTTCCCACCCTTCCCGCAGCCCTCGTCCCTGCGGAGCCGGGGCTGGACGGGCTCCCCCCACCCGGGGCACCGGGACCCCACCGGTGGGCAGCGCTCCGCTGAGTTACCGGAGGGCTCCCGGGGCCGAGCAGGGCCTGATCCTGTCGGTAAAGGCCTGCAGCCGGCAAAGCTCTGTCCGTTCGTGGATGGAGCAAGCGGCGGGTGAGACTCACCGAGGATTTTTTTTTTTTTTTTTTCCTCCGTTTCTCCGAGGAGAGAACCGGCGCTTTGGGGAAAAAGTGCAAAAATTTTCCCGCACACACCTCGGAGGTAAAACCCGATAAGGATGAAATTATTTCCTCGCTGCCCGGCACCGGAGGAGAGTTAAATCGGTCAAATTACCCGGGCTAAGCGGGCAGCGGGGATTAATTGCTCCTTTCCCTCCCGTCGCCCTTTCCCGGGATGGCACCGACGGGAAAAAGCGGGGAAAAGGGCTTTTATCCCCGTCGCAAGGTCAGAGCCGCTCGGCCCGGGGGGGAGGGAGAAGGAGGACCCTCTCCGCGGCTCCCCCCGGGGAAGAGCAGAGCGGGGGCAGCCCGCAGCCCCGACGGGACGGTGAGGGGCTGGAGCACTTCTCTCCTCCTTGAGCCCCGGGTAAGGCCGGGCCGGACAGACTGCAAGCCGTGGGCCGCTTGAGAAAGGCTGGGGGGGTTGGCTGGGGGGGGCAGGTGGGTGAGACACCCACCCCCACCCCCGCGGTTATTCTCCGTTAGTTTATTGCAAAGCAGAACCGGAGCGCTCGCTCAGAGCAGAAAACCGTCTGGCACCCGAAAAACCCCACTGGAAAGTTTTCGCTGTGTTTCCCGGTATCTCCCGGCAACCGGTTAAAGCAGGGTCCTGGGG